TGAACTTTCGGATCTTCACCAAAAGTAGCGATCAGTTAATTGATTTTCGTATACAATCAATAGGCACCTGAATAGAATAAAGCAAATAGATTTGAGGTCATAATAGGGGGTTAAAAGCTGCGATATTTTCTGTGGTTTTCAAAAATTGGGGTAAACGACAATTTATTATTCAAATAAAAAAGTCTCCATAATATTACTATACCTGTTGTATGTACCTATATATGAAACGTGTACCATACTCTGCCGGATATCTCTTTAGGGGGGCTTGTTCGAGATAATTTTTATTGCTTAACAGAAAAAAGAAAAGTGGTTTTAATGTAATATAAATTAAAAAGTATCTAATTTAAATGATTGCATATAATTGAAACCAAAGATCAATAAGCCAAAGTGCTGCTGTTCGCCTATGAGTTTCTAGTATGCAAAAAAAAAAACGATCTTTGACTTTTACCGATGCTTAATGAGCAAGACAGTTATTCAAAGCAGGCTCCACATTGTGCAGAAATACTTGAGAATTAGTCCTTGGTTTACTTGCATTTTCGGCATCCATTGTCAGTGCAATTCAATATTTGTTTCATGAAGGTATAAAATGTAAAGTGCGATAATTTGTATAATTTATAAACTTTTCAGATATTTTTAATACAATGTTAACATTAGCGTAAGCGATTATATATAAAATAAACCTGTTATGATTCTTGGAAATGCAAATATTATCTTATATAAATATTATGAGGGTCAAGTCTTCATAATATTCCCCTAAACTAAATTGTGGAAAAAGCCCTACAGGGCAAAAGTTCGAAAAATGTATGCATTTCTCTCTAAATATCGTTTTAATGTAGATTTTCAGAGAAACAGGCCGCTAGCACATGAAATTGGAAAAGTCACGATTTTGACATATGCAAAATGTATATAGCAATAATGCGAAAGTAAAATGAGTACCGCTGTCAAATCCACTAAGAACCTTGCTTATTATTACCTTATTCACAGCGTAATTCAGTAACGTAAGTGATGAAGAGTAACTTTGGCGATTTGTGTATCAAAATAAAGAAGTATAAGATCTGCGAAGAAGAAATACTTTTACTATATGTCTTTACGTTTCTATTTTTCAGGTACTAAAAATGAATAAAGCAACTTGAATCACTGTAATGGGACACGGTTCACCATTATATACTCTTTGCCACTTCGTTTAATACAATTATTCATACAATGACATTTTCAAATAAATCTTTATACGGGGAGTAGTCGAAAAAGTGGTCCGATCCGAACTCCTTCCAAAAGCGCTCACCCTTGGGCCAAAATATGTCGGTCTATCAAATTTCTTAAAAATATTTCAAAAATTGCGACCTGCAGGCTAAACACAATATAATGAGACGGACAGACAAGCTCAGAATAGTCGTTTGAATTGATCGGTTCAATAAAAGATGGGTCTATCTCAAGTCCTTTTGGCTGTTGCATACATTCGTACGAACGTAATCTACCCTTGTACTACAAGTGATATGGGGTATAGAAATTATTATATTTTTAAACTTTCGCGATTAATATAATTAAGAAACAATTACTAACATTCCTTCACACATACTGGGATTGTACTGGGATTGTGAGCTCTTTAAGATACCCAATAGAACGTCACATTTGCCATAATTTTCAAATGAAATAGAAATATGCCCCGGAAAGCTCATATATGCATCCAAGTGTTTTCGATGCTTGAATACCTCTACGTAGTATTTACTCCCAGCGTAGAAACAAATTAGTTTTTCGAAATGTGTTTGTAGCGCACAGAAATATATGACTCAACGATCGAATTGATTTAGCTATGTTCGTTTGTCATTTTTTGCCGCGACGATGGTCTTTTATCGACACATAGACAAATTACCACCAAATAATATAAAACTTTATTGACTTGCGATGGATGTCCGACATGCAACATACGATATACAATTGACATGACAAACGAATATCAATCACTGTGTCCTTTTTCGCATTGAAAGAGCGGGAACAAACTAGTAGCAGGTATCAATAGATTCGGCTAAACCGAGTGTAAATTCATGTTTTTCAATTTCCAATAGATGTTTTTTGATGCATAAGTAGGATGAGAAACAAAGCGAAGTTTTCTTGTTAATTTATATGTAATTAAAATTTAAGCACTCAATGAGCGCTTCTATCATGCTTTTCAACTGAGATTCGTAGTTAACTTACCAGCAATGAAAAGAACGCAGCTATATAAAAATGCCTTAAATTATTTATTAACTTAAATATCAAAAAAATTTCCATTCGTTTAAAAGTCTACATGGATCCAAAAATGTATCAGAGATTTGTTGTTTCTTCTCAAGTTCGTGATTAAACAATGTAGTTATAAGGGATTAACTACAAGTGCATATGTTTGCAATCTAACAAAAGAACTGTAGTTGATAATAGGCAAAAATACTATCCTTGGGCAAGGTGGAGTATCAGACAGAAAATTTTTAAACCCTGTACCGTTAGCACTGTGTGCGGTTGTATAAAATACAGCAGCAGAAGAGCTTAAGTCAAACTTACCTTTTACTATAACGAATCATTTTCTGAATTGATCCAAGTCTGTCTCTCCGATGTCTTCCCACGTCAAATTTTATTCAAGACACACGATGCAATTTTTGAGATATTTTGATGAAATTGGTATACTGACGTGCTTTGGTTCACGGACGAACACTATTGAAAATGATTTGGAATCGTTCACTGTTTCAACCATTCCCCACGCAACGCCCTATCTTAACAAGTCGTTACATGGAAAAAACTGCAATTTTCAAAATCTCTCGACAAAATTCGCTTTGCAACTGTATTTGGACATTCTAAATTGGTATAGCGAATTTTTCTTTCGGCTTGGCAATTTTTTGAACACTCATCGAAGCAAACTCTACCGAATTGAGATTTGAGCCCGCAAAATTTGATGGTTGCGACTCTTACCTGCTCGGCTAATCATGCGAATATGTACACAATAAACGTATAACAATTTACACGATCGCAATTAAGTTCAGACTAATGCAACAAAATTACAAAATTTAAAACGCTTGTTACATAATGTTGTGAGGGTTAGTTCAAATGTGAAAAGTAGAAATGGTTTTGATTGGTTAATTAACAAGTCCATAGTTAATATGCTGTTACGAAAATCCCATATTTGATCATTTGAGTTTTCATGAAAATTGGTCGATTTTCTAAGAAAGGAAAGGGTGGACATCTATGGCGTGTTATCTGCGTTACGCGGTTGACATCCGGCAAGAAGGTGAATAACAATTGGCAGGAGACGGCTCAAGAGAGTTAAATTGCAATATTCAAACGGACAGGACCAGAACAAGAATTAAAGTGTTGCAACTATGAGCTCCTGTCAATAATTTGTAAATAGGTCTCCAAAGAATTGTAAATAAAACCGATACTATCCTAAAAATCACGATTAAGCGGTATGAACTTTGTTTCAAGAAGAGTTGCATAAAAACGTAACATTCGTAATGGCCGGTACGTTAAAATGGCTTCGTCCATTTTTCGTGAGGGAGCTTTAAAGTTTCTCTACAAGGCAATAAGTTTTCTTACTTTTCTTTCTTAATTAAGTTTGTTGTTGTCTAGTTTTTCCAAGAGAGTACACGCGATTTTTTATCAAGTGCTTGGAATATGAACGGCCTTTTTGTGGTTCATCTTTCGTGTTCTTTCATCAGTGCAAAGATTAACATCGGGCAAATAGTCATTTAAAAAAAAAAAGATTAACTGAAACCCTGCACTTAATGGAACTTGTTCACAGTGATAAGTTTTTATCCCATAGAAAGTTCACATGGAATTCCGAATAAGGAAATTCGTTGTTGTTGAATGAACGTGGTCTGAATTTAGCATATGCGCAACTTCATTACATATATATTATCAATATACTGCAAATACTTATTATAAATACTTATTGCGAGTTGTATGATGGAAATACATTACAATTCTGCCAAGTACTTACACAAATAAATTTTGCACATATGTAGATTCTCTAGAAATCCTTTTGTATCATTTATCTTTATGCAGAGCATAAGGTCATGCATGTATACCAACAAACCACGAAAGGGGAACTAAGTTAAACAATACGGTGACGTACAATCAGAAGACAAAGTTGTACCATTCCCTTTTTCATTTTATCGCATTTTGACCGCGCGTTTGCATGACCCAATATTTCTGAGAAAATGGGTCCACTGCGATTGAATTTTAACCGAATATTGCAGTTTAACCATCGTTCACTCTTCGCGTCATTTTTACCGACTTGGAGAGCATTTAAGAGTTTTGAGGTCCAGGCGACAAGCGTTCTGGCATTCGAACTCAACTTTTATACATCCCACCCTTATGTGCGTTTGGTGAGATGTGACTTTCCAACTCAAGCAGCCGTCAGTTTTCAAATACTTTTGTTTTTTTCAGAATGCAGCGTGTACAAAGGTACTTGTGTAAGGAGCCGCGTTAAAAACCGTTAAGGAATAGTGAACGATTGTTTGATTTTGATTGTTGTGCGAATTTATTTGCGGCGACGTTCACGTTTGTTAAATGTTGTGTAGCCCTGAAAGTCGTGATCCCCGAAAAGCCCAGTTTCCACCCAGTTTAATTTAGGTAAGGACCATTCATTTAGAAGCCCTTATGGAAGCTCCCTATCAGATAGTAGCAAAAGACACCTTGTGAAATCGGACTCAAAAGTTTATTCAATAGTTAAAAAACGGTGTCCGCCTTGCTCGAGTAAGAATGAGCGGAAAAATTCTTTAATGTAGTTTCTGCTAAACGTGTAATGCGAAACTGCTTTATTGAATTATTCATGAAAAAAACGTAGAATAATTGCTATATTATGTCCAGATACACGTAGTGTAGATATTTAATAGTATTTCTAACTTTCTAAGGTATTACATGTTTTGTTATTCTTTACATTGTATTTATTACGTTATTAACGACGACAACAATCACAACAACGTCTAACACATTATTTCAATAAATATAAAGGTAGATATCAACTTGTAGTTTAGATGTATCTCGGACTTTGCAACCTCAAGACGCGCTATTATTTCGAAAAACGGCATCATAATGCAAACTAACGCTTGCATTTTTTTAGTAATTTTAGGTTTAAGTGGATTAAGCCTTACGGTATCACAACAACAACAATACAAACAGATTTATGAATTACGTAAGTGCGCTAATTCAGCCCAAATTGAAAATGAAATGTCGACACTGATTACAAATTAAGCAATAATTTGGTGAAAATCGATGCTTGAATTGAAATCGTAATTAAATGAAAATGGAATGCTTGCTCTATCAAGGAGCACCCTCTACTGCTAGCACTTCGTAAAAACGCTCTAATAATTCTGTTAAAGTACGATAACATGAATTGTTTAATGAACTCAGGCTGTGCATTTAGTGGACATTGGACGTTGTTACCAAAAGGTGTATCGCTCCAAGGTCATTTTGCTTCGTAATAAATGTTACTTATAAAAGCAAGTGGGTTTTCTTTTTTTTTAAATCTCGAGATCAGACGTTTTCTTAGATATTAATTAGTACTCAGCAGGTTTTAAAGATACAATGTAATTATCGCTGCGAGCACGAAACCATAAAGTTAGGATACGACAAACCATTAATCATAACATTTTAAAGTTTTTTAAAGTTTTAAAGTAAGTTTTTTTTCTAACATAGAAGAATGTTTGACCCGACTGTACCATTTTTGCAGTTTTTTTCTTGCAAAGCCTTAGTATATGTATGTGCGAAAATTATTTCTTAGTTTACTGATAAATATCTATTGAAATTTTCCAAACTTTTCTTCTTATTAGAAGCATTTGAACGAATATTTTATTTAATTTAGGTTTGCTCCTTACAGCCGTAACATAGACGTCATTCGCGAACATATGATTTTGGAGAAGTGTAAAAAACCATCTCTGATGCCTGTTTCTAAACATTCAGAAGTATACGATAGTATACATTCGACTGGAAGTCGAGTTTAAGGCTCACATAAGCAAGCTTATGAACAAAATCTTCTACGGCGGAATATAATGTTGGAATATCCATGTTGAAAAAGAAAAATTTTTGAAACTTATTATTATTATTATATTAAGAATAAGGCCGTGGTATCAAATGTCAAGTGCGATAGGGTTTGAAAACTCTATCTATGTAATAATAATAATAAAACTGGATGAATAGCAATTCGTTTGATAAGTTTACGCGACCCTAACAGGAGAAACCATGAACCTTCCATCTGACTAATTATATAAAAAAAATTAAAAAATATATATAATTATTATATGCATTATATCCAAATCGAAGTAGAATGTTTCCCATTTCCGATAGTGCAAACATGTGTGCAGGGAAGAGTTATTGTCTTAATAGTATGATCAATTACTTAAATACACCTTCAAGTTAATTTCTCTTTGCCTTTATTATAGCTGAACATCTCAAGGAGATGGCATGTCAGGAAGACGACCCCGCAATTAATGAATGCATACGTAAAGGATTACAATATGGAATTGATTCTTTGAAAACTGGCGAACCCGGCGCCAATATACCGGTTATGGATCCTTTTCATATCAACAAAGTTAGTTATCAGTTCTCCAATGATTTTGTCAAAGGCAAAGTCAGCCTGCGAAATATCAAAATTGAAGGAATAAGCAACATCAAGTTGAAGAAAGTTGATTACTCGAGAAAAGGTAACCGACTCCGTACGATCGTGGACATGGACATTCCACGTATAACCGCCGAAGGAAACCATAAAGCTGATGTTCTAATAAATAACGTAAAAATTTCATCAAAAGGCTCTTTTGCTGTAACCTTAAGTAAGTGAAAACGTTGTTTAAAACACTTAAGGCTGACTGTTGCTGCATTAAACAGTTCGTTCCTATATTAATTACAAAACCGTCGCTTGGAGTCGAGAAATGGGTTTAGTGAATATTCACGTAAATCGACTTAGCATCTTGTACGATATTATTTTAGTTTTTTGAAGCGATTTTTAGTGTGAGAGACAGACGGACAAATGTCTGTAAATCATTAACTTATTTTATAGCGTGCATTTGAAGTGCGAACCGGAGACCGCAACTATTAGTTGTAACTATAAAATTGCGGATTATATAATTTTTTCTTTGTTCTCTCTATAGCTAATGTTGTTGGCAAATTAACATTGCACAGTGAAGCCTACGAACGAGATGGTCACGAATACGCCCATCCAAGAAAAATAACATTTGAGCCCGATGTAGGTGATATGAAACTAAAAGCCGACGGCCTATTGCCCGAGCCAGCTCTAAGTAACCTAATCCGTCTTCTTAAAAAACTGAAATGTTATAATAATCTTATATTATTTCCTTATTTAGACGATGCTATTGTGGATTTCATAAACGAAAATTGGCGTCAATTTTATAAAATCCTATTTACAGAAGCTCAGTCTACTTGGGAACCGGCATTGATAACACTTGTGGATGATTACAGCGCTTACATTCCTCTTGATATATTAATAGTAAAGAAATCGTAGAGGATAATTTAAATCCTTAAGGGTGATTGTAACCATACAAATAAAACAATAAAATAAATTTTTTTAGAATATTTTATGTTTTAGTGATGTACCTTAGATTGCGGCCTGTAGGTTGAACGCAGGGAAACAAGACAGATAGAGCGACAAATGAGCTCAGATCGATTCAGAAAGTGTTTCTTAAAAAACTAAGAAATATAAGGAAAGAATGAACAAACAAAATATAACCTACCCCAATCTGTAATTTTATAAAGATTCCAAAAAAATAATTTCGTGCTTATCCTGAACCATTATCACTTGGCACGGCGTATCATCTGTCGTTAGTTTGCTAGTTTTTAGAAGGGAAGGATGAATTTCGTGCAATAACATACCACTTGTTTAAAGCTTGATTGCTAGAATGTGAAATCTAAATTATGCGTATACATAATAATGCTGCATTACATCAGACTAGAGTAAATAGTCAACAAGGTGTAGTTAGCCCAATTGTTAAGAAACGTGATCAAGCATTTCCAAAGAAAAATTTTACATTATCTTGAAACTAGTTGAAGCCAATCATTCGGGTATTTCAGCGCATTGACAGTCCACAAAATCGAGAAATAGGCATAGGCGTAGACGTTTGCAAGCGAGAAAGAGTTTCACTCGGTCAACGCCGCTTAGTTAAGATATGATAAAACGTCTTGTGTCAAATCGTCAAAAAAAAAACAGTTAACACGATTGCTTTGAGGGATTACACTCTGGGGCTAACGGGCTACGAAAGATCGATATAAACCTTTGATCGAGAAAAAAGGCACAATTGATGCAAAAGTTATTTCTGCTATGTTTTCCTTCACAGACAGTCCTGATGCCAGCCTTTATTCTCGAAAATAACAAGTCTGTCAATTTAGATCTATTCTATTTTACCACATCTTTGCCAACTGTCATCAACAGAAGGCATCAAGCGAGACCAAGAGCAGTGATATTTCAATATCACGATAATTCAAATTCATTTGTAACAATATGTTGGCTTGCAAACTCCATTTTCGCGAAACTCAGAAGAACCAGTAGCAGCGTAACAAAACAAGACCTGTGGCCTTGAGTTCATGAACTGTGGTTCGAAAGGATTGATAAATGTTCTAAATTAAATGGGAAAAAAATGCGAAGAATTAAAAATTAAAAAAAAAGTGCGAAAAATTTAATTAGAAGAAGTAAACTTAACAAACCTTTCAGAATTAGGCGCAGTGAAGCTCAAATTAGGATTCCGTTCGATAATATTTTTACGTTCTGTTTATTGACTTATATAATATGTTTCTTTTTTAACTGAACTGCGGCCAAGGTCTTATATAATAAATTATTGTGCTAGTTTAAGCAAAATAGTAGGGTTTTAAACTAGGTTAATACTAAAATTTCGCAAACGTAAGTTATCTTAATTAGGATATCACATTTAATGTGGATTATAACTAATGTAGGTTATCTCAACTAAGTTATAGCTGGGTTTATATTATGTAGAAATATAAGAAAACGTAAAATTAGCATAAGTCTTTAATAAGTGAGTATTAAGTAGAATACGATGAAACTATAAAGCTACATAGGTAAGAAAAGAAACTAGAAAAAGATTATAGTCAGGCAAGGTCCTACCTCATTTTGGCTTTACAAAAATTAAATCTAGTTTCCAAATAAAGTCATACTTCTAATGGGAACCCTTACAGGGCCACACGCAGTCCATATTGATCGAATTTAATTTTCTGTTCAAAGATGTTATTATTTTTGAGCTATTTTTGTCACAAACTTTTAAAAATTAAACCCTTTCGCCACATAAAGACTTTTTTTTCATGTAAATCTATGTGGGTGGCCGGGTCCAAAAAATAAATTTACGGCGTACTAACTTTGTACGGTTAAATTGCATTTTAACCATCATGGACACACCGTTCATATGAATTCCTAGTGCATCATTTTTGCCGCCACGGAGGACATTCAAGGCTGTCGATATGCAGGCAGCTCATCCTCTACACATCTCGTTGCCGTGTGCGTTTTTGATGGGATGTAACCTCCCAACTCAGGCCCTCGTCAGTAGCGTCGCTGGAACGTGACGTTTTTATACCCATCGCTGAACGATGAAGGATGTATTAATCTTATCCCAAAAGGAAGCTTCAGAGAACCCATAAAGTGTAGATGTCTTCTTAATCAGCATCAAAATCTGAATCGACGTAATCATGTGCGTCTGGGTAATGTCGGTTCTAAGCATTATTCTAGCCCCAAAAGTGGAGCTATCAGCTTCAAAATTGGCGAAAATATTTGAAGTTCTTGCATGCAGTTTGGTGTTGGAAATGAATTAAATCGGTTCAAAGACACGCCTATAATATTATATAAGCTGAGAGCACAGCTGTTTTTCAAAAGGAATAAAAAATTTTTTTTTTGCTTAGTGCTCGTAAGCTACACCAGAGAAACCTAAAATAATGTGATCGCATATTCTATGGGCGATTTTATAGTACCACTACAAAAAATGGGAAAAATTGGCCATGCCTACTTAATTTTATAGTGCGTCATAAATTAATTTTTTTTCAAATCTTTTATACGACGACCCAGCTAACTAATTTTCCCACAAAGATTCCCTAGAAAATGAAAAACCAAGTGCACATTCGCGGCGCGTCATGCAGCCGCCGGCCGACGAAACAGATTAGCGGAAAAGTAGATTAACGGATTAAAAATGAAGTCAAGAGCTTAGGTAATAGTAATATGTTTGTAAAAATGTCTATAAATAAAATATTTGCGGAAGGCAGGGTCAGACCGGCAAGAATTTTCGAGTCGAACAAGAATATTAGAGTTGAGAAGTCGAAAGTACTGCCAGAGTAAAATGGGTAATATATAATATAATAGTTGTGAATAAAAGGTCTTGTAGTGAAAACGTGAAGAAATATCCACGATCCAGTAATACGATCTATAACAGTATATAAATTCTTGGCAAGTTTCAAATTTGGAATGCATCTAGGCATTTCAGTGCATTCTTCCATCCATCTGTCCGTCTCTACAACTTTGCAATATCTGTAGTGAACATTCTCCCGTTCGCAAAAAAGAAGGTATCGCTTACTAAGGTGCGAAAGAATTTCAAGATGACCCATACATATATAACGCTCACACGTCTATATAACAAAAACTACGCCACATACATTACATAAACTTCTGCTTCTATTTTAGAAACGGAAAAATAAATCGCGCCTTTCCTGTATTATCGAGTATAAAAATTTAATTCTCATTTTTATACGATCGCAAACAATAAATTTACGAATTACGAATAAATTTTCGTCGAACGCCCTTTCTCTCTCCACTACGCAGAAATTGACTCATGATTGAGTAATGCCGAGGAAAAGAGAGAGTTGGCACCGATTTTCCAAACGAATCATCGCATCGTTAATCATCGCATGCGTATTACTTATCGTCTGGTCATTTGCACCAGTATGGAGGCTATTCAAGGGTTTTCATCCGCAGGCGATATCCAATTGCCATGTGCGTTTGGTGGAATGGAGTTTTCCGTTTCATCAGCAGTTGTCGTCACTGAACGTACTTTTGAGGAAGGAATTCTTGTATATTAAGATCTGTTACGGAATGGCGAAAGCTTGGTTTGTGTGGCATTGTGGCACCCGCGCGATACCTGAACAGTCGTTTTCCTCCTGTCTAATACAGGTCAGGACTTTCATTTGCAAATCGTTACAGAAGTCCTACAACAAGCGTAAAGAAAGAGTTATGTGAAAAGCTTTTTTACCGTACTTTACTCTAATCTCTGAACAAGGTATAATAAATGCTAGGTTATCCATGTATATAAAGTGTAGATATCTAATATTATTTCTAAATTATATGTTAGTAAATATTTTGTTATTACTTTTTACTTACTTATTGCACGACAACAATAACAACAATGACCAAACTATAAATACAGACTTAGATATCAACTTATAGTTCAGATGTTTCTTAAATTTTGCGAACTGAAAACGCGCCATTATTTCGAATTTATCGAATCTTCGGTATCAAAATGCGAAGCAACAGTTGCATTTTTTTGTTCATTTTAGGCTTAAGTGGATTATGCTTTACGTCATCACAACAATGAAATGAACATACATATGAACTATGTAAGTGTACGCAAAAAATTGTTGGAAATCAATAAATGAGTTTAAATTGTAATTGAATCTTAAAAACGAAATGAAATGGAATTTTTACTGTATAAAGCATACAGCTGTGTCACCTTTACTTGAAAAAGTTATGTATGTGGTTGTGCATTAATAGCATATATAACGGTTTAACTAACGCACAATAATGTAAATTGTGTAATGAGTTAACATGGTGCACTTAGTGGACGTTGGACGTTGTCACAACAAAGTATACGGCTGGGCTGAGATCAATCATCAACGGTTTTCCTAGATATTAATTTACAAGGTTAATGGATAAGATGACTTTGCTAACGAAAGGGGAGGAATAGTAAATGTCCAAAAAAAAAAAAAACATCGCACAAATGTAACGTAATGTATATGTAAAGTTTTTTTTTTTAACAATAAACAAGTTTCACCCAACCGTACCATCGTCACAGCTCTTTCTTCGCAAAGCCTTTGTACATACTTGTGGCAAACTTACTTCGTGACTTACTGACTATAACAATTTTCAATTTTTCAAGTTTTTTCTTTTGTTAGAAGCACATGAATAAAAAATGATTAATAATTCATATAAGGGGGTGGGCCACAGCATCAATTTTTTTTAAATTTTTTTAGAGGGAAGGAAAAGTAGTCGAATAATATTATTTAAGCACACTTTTACGAATTACATTAAAGAGAAATTATTTTTGAAAAATATTAAAAATGGCAACTTCGCAGCCATCGCAACGGGAGACACTTTCGATCACGGGGCTCTGTGGCGAGCAGTATAACTAGTCCAATTTTGAATTTCATAAAAAAAATAAAAAAATCATTTAATCTACATTTTTATGTCTAGTAATATTGATGTTAATGCAATTGGCGAGAGTTTGGCCAGAAAAAAGTCATTCTTTTAACAATCAAAAATACGTAAATTAACTTACCGGAAAACTTCTACGTGTTTGAGTAAAGAATGCTGT